TATTAATGAGACTATTTCTTGAATCGCTTAATTGCCCATAGGTTTTCTTTAGATGGTTAATTAACCGAAATCTCATGATTGACTTTTAGGGCATATTTCCAACAAATTGATGGTTGAAGGGAAAACTTAGAAGATAGATAAAAAGACTAGGAGGAGAAAAGGGCTAACATATAAAATAAAATAAAAACTAAAAATAATTTAAGTTTATTTTCTTATTTTTGGTTTTTATCCTAAAAGATTGTTCTAGAATCTATTTTTACCTCTGTCTTTCACATCTATAATCTATCTAAAAATAAGATAAGATACACGTACTACTACTAAGCATGCCCTTAAAATTGCAAAAGTGTAAAAGCAAAGTAGGTGGCCGGTTGTTTTTGTTTTATTTTTCGTCACACACAATAATTTCTTCATATACAAGGCAGAACTCTTTTTTTCCACTCTCCTGCGGTAAAGAGACCTATGATCAAATCATATCCTTTAGTTATCATTCCATTATTTGCTTTTTGGTCACATATATGGTTAACTATGATTCTCTTCCTCTTTGTGCAATTTAAAATGGTGCCAAAAGTCTCTAACATAGACCTTAGAAACCTCAAAATCCATCTTTAATTCTAGATTAAGGACAAATGGACAATTAGAATCTTTTGCTTGCATTACACTTGAAGGCACCTCATAAAGCCACATCATTGAAACCTGTAAAGTGGAATAACCAACTTGGCCATGAACTTTTTCCACCCTCGAAGGAATCCCTTTAACTTTAACAAGATGCAAGTTTCATTCCCATTCACACACCTTTTTGGCTTATATTTGGATGCTTTGGACAATATTTAAGGTAAAGCGAACAATTGAGAAAGAAATTGTGAGGTCATATTCAAAAGATTGTTAGAATAGTTGACTCGATACAAGTCAAGATGTGTACCAAGATTTTGGAAGAATACAATAAACTCAAATATATGTGATCATCTATTAATGGTACCGAGACCTTAACAAGTATTGAATAATTGAACTTAAACTTAGATGATTAAGTTGAGGACAATATCAGTCTATGCTTGGACTTAGTAATGTCCTAACTCGTGATACAACAAAGACAAATATTATGAAGAAAAGATTCTTGGTGGCCCAGAAATAAGCTTTCAGAGTCTCTTTCCTTATCAAAATGTTTAGCAGTGTGAACTTGTTGTCTGCGCATGCTTCTGAGAAGGAAAGAATAGAATATTGAACTAATCTTATACATATTTTGGGGCTCTCTTCTTTTCTAATCTTGAATTCTTGGGATGGTGGCCTCAATTCTTCTTATCTCAAGCCGGAAGGGATAAGATAATGTGTAGCCGGTTAAGTGGCATCAGCAGCAACCCATGGTATGGCCATTCCCACCTGTCAATCTCATTCAAAGCTGCAAATAAGAAAATTACAGAATCCCATAAAGTGGAAGGTGATCCAAGATGCTCCCATTATCCTCCTTTTGTGCTCTAAATTTGCTGAAGCAAAATGCTGCCAAAGTCATCTCCATGAACAGTTGGCTTTGATTCATTTTTGTAAAACAACTTCACAAATATTCCAAATTACAAATCAAAGTTGAGTGACTATCACATAACTAAATTTGTATTTCATCACTCATGCTCAATCCAGGAGTGTTTTCTGCTCATGAATCTAGGATTTACCCTTCATGTACTTCAAGAATTAAAGCTTTATAAATTGAGAAGCATAATTACCATTAACCAAATTCGAAGTTTATGAACTCCAACAATATGAGAGTGTATCAGTTGTTCATATCACTCTAGACCTTATTTATTTCTAGCAAGCAAGATGCTACTCAAATGAAAAAAAAAAGGAAAGATGCTACCGAGGCACCTGTCATGTCAGTTGGAAACTCACAATGAACTCTTGAAACAAGATTAACGTATGATTTGCTATGTTTGTGTGTTCTATTTACTGTCAGTGAAGTAAACTGAGACCACGATTTTGCATTATTTAGCTTACTAACCCTCTTGTTTGTGTCCTATATTTCTGGAAGTTGTGAATTTTTCCACCAGGTAAAAAAATGTTTGTGCAAGCCCCTTTGAACTTCATAATGCCCAGGCGGTTTTGAAGCCCATAATAATCATCCAGCGTGCAATATATAAATGAACATCATCCGGAAAAGTATTTTTCTTTTTCTTGTCATGGTCTCATGCCTGTGCTAATATTCTAATCACACATTATAGAATTTCCCAAACTCCACTTTCCATTAGAATTTGATCATGTTTTTCGTCGTCTTCGCCTCTTTTACAGTTTGTTTAAAAAAATTAATTTTTTGCTATTTACTTGAAGAGATAGAATCACACACCATCACATGCTCTTCATGTTACACAATATAGAAAAAGTAGAACAATTAACACTAACAAAAGGAACAGTTTAATTACACTGACCCGAAAGGATAACCAGAAATCTCCATAGTCATGCAAGGAACAAAAATTACCAGCAGACCAAAATGGAGAAATCATTACATATAGCGGACTCATCATCCTAAGAACTAGTAACTAGGACTGAGGAAAACCTCTGCAAATGTCAAAAATTCATTGCAGAAGCACCTGGCTACACCAAACTGGACCTAAAAGGCTAAAACCCAAACTAGACACAAACTAAAGTTAAAGAAAGAAATAAGCAAAGATTACATTATCATAAGGACTTCATATAGCAGACCAGTCAATCTCCACTGAAGGGTACTTCTCTAGTCCGAAATTCTCAGCCTCATCCCATTGAGAATCCGAAAAATCCAAGAAGGTAATGTCGGATTCCGGTGAAGAGGACCCGGTTGAAGACTCAACGGACCGAGAGGGCGAAGATGAGATCTCCGGTCTATAGCACTCTACACCAGTTAACTCCCATTCACCTTTCAATTCAGTTTTCAATGAAACCTCCGAAGGAGATGATATCGCTGGCTTTCTCTCTGCCGCAGAACAGAGCTCCCCTGTTTTCCCTTGTTTCGCCGAATTAGCAGCCAAACTCTGGCAAATTGCTTGGAGCTTGGCATCCACGGAGGAATGGAGAGGCTTGTAGTGGCCAAAATCGCCAGAGACATGAGCCCCTTGGTGCTTAAGATGAGGGAAATTGAGCCGAGCAAAGTCTCCCCTGAGCTTATAAGCAGCTTTATCATAAGCTAAAGCCGCTTCTTCAGCAGTGTCAAAGGTACCAAGCCATAGGCGGGTTCGGTTCTTGGGAAGTCTAATCTCAGCAACCCATTTGCCCCAATGCCTCTGCCTCACTCCCCTGTAGAGCTTTGTGGGTTTGGAGGGAGCACCAACTTGCTTCATTGGGATGGCTTTTGGGCTGAGGAATTTCAGGGTGCGAGGGTTTTGGTGCTGATATTGGTTTTGCAGTGAAGCTGGAGAAGCAAGAGCAGCAATTTGTTCCTTTTGTTGGAGTTCCTGCTGTTGTTGGAGGACCATTTGGGTTTGGATTTGAAGAATTTGAGATGGGGTAAGTTGGTTAAGCCCTATTGAACCTGTTTGCTCAAAACTCACTTGATCAAACATGTGGGTTGTGGATGGTGAGCAAAAGTCAGGGTACAAATTGGGCTGAGAAGAGTAGAGTGGAGGAGGGTAAGTGCAAGAAGAAGGGTAGGAAGAAAAGGAAGAAGGAGAGGTTGGTGAAGAAATAGAAGAAGAAAAAGATGTCAAAGAAGAGGTTGATGAAACACTTTTCATAAAAGGCATAAGTGCTTTCAGGAGCTGATCGTCCCTCAAGGAATCTGATAAATCTGGTGTCATTGAGCTGCTGCTGTAAAGATCTATAGCGGTTGCCATGTAGTCACAAAAGGGGTAAAAGCTAGAATATAAGACAGAAAATATATTTCCTTAAAACCAACCTGTTTCTTACCAAAATCAAAGAACAGGTAGACTAAATCCAAGAAGAAGAAAAAAAACCCAGATAAAAAGACAAGGTTTTTTTGCACAAAGAAAGACTAAACAGGCTTGAAAAAACCAACCTTCGAGGGACAAAAATAAACCCTCCCAGTTGATCACAGAAAAGCTTAAAACTTTATACTGAAAAAAAAAAAAGGAGAAAAAACCTGGATCACTGTTCTGAATCACCTGCTTTCAGAAATACCCTTCTGGGTTTGCTTTGTTTTATCACAATTGATGTAATTTCCAATTAAGATTCCCAAAAACAAGCCCCAAAATATGTTCTTTCGAAAAACAGACGACGACAGAAAGGGATTCAGAGAAGAGGGGTTCAAAGAGAAAGGGGAAGGAGTTGAAGAACAATCAAAATTATCAAACACAGTTGCAGAAAAGCTCTCACTCTCTCTCTATCACTCTTTTTGTTTGTGTGGCCTCACTTTGGTGTTTTTGGCTCTCTTGTGCTTCCTTGGGTCACTTGTTCTCTGTTTATATAAGCCCCAAGCCAGTGGCTCTCTCTGGCTTAAGCCTCCGGTTTCTCTCTCTAACCACGTTTTCTTCATTAATTAATCATTTCTGCCTCGTCAACTTCAGAGATACCTTTATTCGATGTGGACACCCAATGACGACATGACACGTTTTTGTGCATTGTATTTAGTGAAGGGCAGTTGTCTGTTGATGAGCCAGGGCTTTACACGTGGCTGTCTTCGATTTGCTAGATAAGGTTGACTGTTATGTGCTCCCGTTAGCAAATTTTGGATTTTCATGCTTTGTGTCGTTTGCACTGTTATGACTCGCCGTTTCACTGCCACCTCAACCTCAGCGAAAATTGCTAGGGCACTGAGTTAGTGTTTTTTCGTTATCACATTTGGTACCAGACCATTAATATGGACCGTTGATGTTTTTGTTTTTTGTTTTTTGTTTTTTTTTTCTGAAAACAAAAATCAACATCAAGGAATTTGGTATCCTTACGCCATTTTAGATATTTCTTTCAGTTCAAACCTGAATTAAGAGTGTCCAGGCGTTAGTAAGTTAACAATACTAGTTTGGATTCACACCACAATCGTCTTCTCATGATTAGAACAATTTTTTTTCGGAAACAATCATAACAATACAAAGAAAACTATCGAAAACTAGTTTAGCCAAATCAAAAATCGTTTAACCATTTGATTATTATCGTGAATAGTTTCAGTTTAGTTAAAAGACAAAAATGGAAAGATCCAACTTTCATTTTCATTTTAAAATATAATTTTCAACTTGACATTAACGTATGATGATATTAATAGATTAGAGTTGCTTCTATTTGACCTGAAATCAAAAGTGGCATGCCCAACTAGTGCAAGTATTAATGAATAATATCAACATGAAAACACATATTTAAATGGTATTGTATAAAAATATCTTAATTATTTTTTGCGTTAAAGGCATTTTTTTCTTGGTTTTGCTAAGGGAATTTTCATGTGTACAATGCCATTAGTATATTGGTTGGTGAGTGTTAGCTTATTCAACATCATTAATTAATCAAGTTTGGCCAAGATTGATTACTACTTAAAACAAATCTGAAACGACTCGGCATCAACATCCCATAATTCAAACATGGCATGGCACACACGCTACAACAAATTCATCACTTTTAATCTAGGGCAAGGTAGACTTGTTGATATTAAGACTTAGGCATCCCAATTAAGATTATAAATTCAAAACAATCATAACAATACAAAGAAAATTATCACAAAAGAGAAGTGGAAAACAACACAGAAGACCCAAAGAATCTCTACAACTTATTCCAAATATAAAAAAACTGCAAAAAGACTGGTGAAATGAGATGTAGATAACCATCCTTTTTAGATAATTATTATGAAATTCTATGTTATTATGAGGTTAGTGAGGTTCATAATGGCATGTAGATAAGCTTGATGCAGATAAAACGAGATGGTGATGATGAGATTAATTAGTGATGTGAATTAGATAAAGCCTAATTAATAAGTTGATGCTTTCATGGGTTGTGTGGGGCAGTTGGGGCCGCAAAGCAAATGGTGCAAGGGTAAGGCGTGACGATAGTTTGAGAGGGACCGGACAACATTATATCATCAATTGCGGCGCCTGCTCTCTGCTCTGATATGAGAGAAGAAAGAGAAAGAAAAAGGAGAGGGATATGGCGGGATTCTTGAGGTTCTCGAAAAGCCAATTTGGCTTCATCACGCAATTCTATGACCCCAATCAACCTGCCCCTCTGTAGCTACTCGACTACATAGTCTTTGGCACCATATGGTTGATTTCAAGACAACAGCATCAAATAATTATTGAGAGATTCACTATTATACTTAATATAGGAGCGCAAATTATAAAAAAATCATATATGAAATGAACTTTAGAAACACACATAAAATCCATTTATAATATAACAAAAAGATTACGCAATTCTATGACCCCCTATCAACCTGTCCCTCTGTAGCTACTCGACTACATAGTCTTTGGCACCATATGGTTGATTTCAAGACAACAGCATCAAATAATTAATGAGAAATTCACTATTATACTTAATATAAGAGCGCAAATTATAAAAAAATTATATATAAAAGGGACTTTAGAAACACACATAAAACTCATTTATAATATAACAAAAAGATTTTTAACTTCTTTTAAATTACAAAACTGTCATCGATTTCTTAAAACAAACCTAACTCCAAAACCTCATAAAAAAAAAGCCTAAAACACTCAATAGGGCATCAAAGGAAGTTAATAATCAAAATTAAATTTAATAGGCCAAACTATCATTTTTTGAATTTGTTTATGAAAATTAAATGGTGTAGGGTTTATTTATAATTTTAGTGCTAAGAAGGAGTATATAACTAAATATCTCATAATTAATTCGGATTGGATTTGATTGGGTTGGGTTTGGTCAACCCATTTAATAATGCAGTCATGTTGTATTGAAATCATATGAATTCACTCACGGATGTCCTGAAGTGGTGTCACAGCACAAGACCCTCGAGAATGCACCATATTTACACAAGTCCTTTTCTGCAAAAGAAGCTACTTCATAGGGGATGAATTGTGTGACATTATTAGATACCAAGGTAACCGTGGTTAAGTTAAGCCTAATATGTCAAGTTGTCACAACGCAAAAAGTGGAGGAATGAGTAAGGATGTAGAAAAAGTTGCGTGTTATGGAAGCGATGGCATCAATTTGACGTGGTCACACGTCGTTTCCTACGTGGACACCACTTCTTAACTTTTCTACCCTAAAAGTTTTGTCTCTGTACCTTCGGATAGAAATGGTCTTTTCAAACATTTTACTAGGATTCGAACTATTTGAAAATTTAACATTTTTAATTGAATTCTTTCATATTTAAGAGAGAAAAAAAAGGAAGAAGAAAATTACTTAATTTAATAGGAAAGTAATGGATTTTTCTCATAAATTAATTCAAAAGGAGAGATTTCTCTTAAACATAATAGTGATACTTCAATATTGGCCAATAACATTTATTAATCATAATATTTTTTTTTTCATTAGAAGTTCCTACTTTTTGAAAGTGTTGCATGTTAATTGTTATGAATAATTGCAAATACGTTGTTTCTAGTGTCACATCCTGGATCGACTCTGTCGTAGCACGATATTGTCCATTTTGGGCCCCCCTCTCTGGCCCTCACGGTTTTGTTTCTAGGAGCTCACTACCAACTTCCCAGTGGGTCACCCATCCTGAGATTGCTCTCGCCCTCAACTCGCTTAACTTCGGAGTTCCTACAACTCCGAAGCCAGTTAGCTCCCAAAAGGCCTCGTGCTATATGGATGCGGGTATGTACAAATAAGACACATCAACCCCCTCTCCGTTGGTCAAAGTGGGATCTTACATCTAGTGTTTAGAAAAATCAATAAATGACTTATAATATTATATCACTATATTAATACACGAAGCAATAGGTTTATACAGAAATTAAAAATACAAACTGCATAAATATGTAGATAGAAACTAAATGCAGAAAATTGACTTTTAAAGAAGATAGAGACTTGCGGATTTGCAATGTCCTAAAGATAAAATTTCACCCCTTCTCAATGCTTGAAG